AAATGTAGGAAAAAATGTTACAAATTGTAAGTAATATTTTGAATATAATTAATATGTGATAAAAACAAAATATTGATTATTTAATTGATTATAATAAAGGATTTCATTAAATTATTAAGTATTTTGATTTATTTTATAAATAACAGAATATTCTTATAGTTTTGGTTAAGAGAATATTCTATTTTGAAGAAAATATTTGTATATAACTAAAGATTTTCAAAATATTTATTAAAAAGTTTTTAAAATATTAAATAATTATATGGTTAGAGTTGGAATTTTTCTTATAAAAATAGTACTAACAGGTAATACGCTGAATAAAATGTGCTTGCTAATATTAAAACTTGTCTAAAACAGGCTAAAAGATTTTAATTGAGTGAAGTTCAATTTGCATGGAATCAGTAATATCCTCACAATCAATAGAAATATTAAAATTATAATTTACATAAGATTTAAATTATTTAAATTATAATACATTTAGAGTAAATTATACTGTGTATAATTTTAAATAGTGCTTAAAAACTGTTTCATAAAGCTTACAGAATTTAATGATTAATATTTTTATTATGTATTATAAGATTTATAAATAATTATTTAAGTAAATGTTTGGTTCTATTTTAGTAAATATTGTGAAGAGCTTATATGTCGGAGGACAGGGAGAGTTAACGCCTGACCAGATGTAAATGTGTGTACAATTTGTCGTGAAATTGATATGATCACTCCTGGTAATTTTACTGACTGATCATGAGGAGTATGATGGGCTACCTGTCCAATCAGCACTCCCTGCGAACACCTCACAAACATACGATTTGCACACATTATGCTCATTATCTGTCGATTACCTTAATGTCAATTATACTTATATAAGACTCACTCTTCCCATGTATTACTCGCAGTCTATTTCTCACTCACGAAGTGAACACTACTCTAAGTTATAATAAAGTTTTGTCGTTAATTGTGTTAAAGAAGTATACTTTTAATGTCCACTATTTGTGGGTACAATAGCTGGTGATCGACAAGAATCTACTTCTCAACAAATTAAACGTACAAATTATATAATTTAATTTAAAATGATTTTCTGCTAGAAATATAGTTATCATATGTTATCAATCGCTTCATACAATTAGATTCAAACAAAAGGGAGAGAGAGAGAGAGAGAGAGAGATGTACAAATATTAGCCTATGTATTTTTGTAGCAAATTAAAAACTTGAATCCAGGAAAATCCAGGAAATTTGCCCAAAATTGTCAAATTTTCCAGGAAATGCCAAAATATTTCTGGCAACGCTACAAGTAGGGTGACCAACTGTCCTCTATTTAGAGGACAGTCCTCTATTTGGCTATATTTTAAATAATGTACCCTTATGATTTACTATGAAAACCAAGGTTAAAACTTGTGTCCTCTATTTGTCATAAATTTTTATTGTATGTTTTCCCTTTTGTCCTCTAAAACTTATTGTAATGTCCTCTTTTTCCAAAATGAAAGTTGGTCACCCTAGATGTGAATTGAAAGTCCCTTTAAATGCAAAATCACATGAAAAGATGAAAACAGTGAAATCAAAACTTGCGATACATTTGTGTTTTCATCGATATATTAGACTTTTTTGATGAGTTTTTTGTGTCATTTAATTAAGTGTAACGTAACAAACGATACGTTAATTAGTGTAAAATAATTGCATTGAAATAATCGGCAAATCATTTGCGACAAAAACCAAATACTCATTGCATTCAAAGTGTTTGTAAAACCTATCAATTGATCAAAAGGTTTGTTATTTTTATTACTAAATTGCAATTATTTTTTAATACATTTTAATTTAATTACAAAAACTACGAAAAATTTTATTGAAAATATATGTTTTTGTGTTTTATAAACATATTTTATAAACATATTATGAAATGTTTTTAAATGATAAACATATAAATACAGTATTAAATCGAGGAAAATATTTACTATAAATATTAGCGATAATAATATTTTTAGTTAATTTGGTTTTTAATTATTTTTATATATTTTTATTTATTTTTTAAAACTATTAAATTTAAAATTATTAAATAAAATAGACATTTAATGGAAAATATGTAAAACGATGTGAAATGTATGCAAAAATCTGTGTGGAATATCGCTAAAAATGAGGATGATAAACAGTGATTTGAATGACCATATTCATTTATGGCATGAATGGCATGGTCAAATTAATATTTATAAAATATTACATTGTCTGATGTGTTAACACTGCTTAATATTCACATGTTTAGCGCATCACATGTTATGCAATGATATGATCAATATGTATAAGTTATAAAATATTTCGGATATAGCATGGTCGTTTGTTTACAATCAATGTATCATGCCCAATTCTATCCTAATGGTTTTTGCATTTACATAAAACCATTAAATGATTCAATTGTACGTCCATTACATATACGAGCAATGAATTTATTGTTTGTTTGTATTTTTATATTTGTTTATTCGGTTGACATATATTTGCCATAAATATAGCATTTTATTAATTGTTATTCGGTCTCTCTCTCTCTCTCTCTCTCTCTCTCTCCCTTTTGTTTGAATCTAATTGTATGAAGCGATGGATAACATATGATAACTATATTTCTAGCAGAAAATCATTTTCAATTAAATTGTATAATTTGTACGTTTAATTTGTTGAGAAGTAGATTCTTGTCGATCACCAGCTATTGTACCCACAAATAGTGGAAATAAAAGTATACTTCGTTAACACAACAAAACTTTATTATAAATTAGAGTAGTGTTCACTCGTGAGTGAGAAATAGACTGCGAGTAATACATGGGAAGAGTGAGTCTTATATTATATAAGTTATATACATTAGGTACAATTGTATAATTGACATTAAGGTAATCGACAGGTAATGAGTATAATGTGTGCAAATCGTATGTTTGTGAGGTGTTCGAAGGGAGTGCTCATTGGACAGGTAGCCCATCATACTCATCATGATCAGTCACTGGAAAATTGCCAGGAGTGAAATAGCAAGTTCACGACAAATTGTGCACACATTTACATCTGGTCAGGCGTTAACACTGCGGTCAATTCTCCCTGTCCTCCGACATATAAGCTCTTCACAATATTTACCAAAAAAGGACCAAACATTTACTTAAATATTTATTCATAAATCTTATAACACATAATAAAAATATTAATTATTAAATTCTATCAGCTTTACGAACAGTTTTTAAGCACTATTCAAAATTATACACAGTATAATTTACTCTAAATGTTTTATAATTTAAATAATCTAAATCTCGAGTAAATTCTAATTCTAATATTTCTATTAAGAGTGAGGACATAACTGACTCCATGAAAAGTTTACCTTACTCAATTAAAATAATTTTAGCCTGTTGTAGAGAATTTTAAATATTAGCAAGCACATTTTATTCAGCGTATTACCTGTTAGCACTATATTTATAAGAAAAATTCCAACCATATATTTATTTAAATGTTTAATATTTTTAAAACTTTTTAATAAATATTTTGAAGATCTTTAGTTATATACAAATACTTTCTTCCAAAGAGAGTATTTTCTTAACTAAAACTACAAGAATATTCTGTTACTTATAAAACAATAGTTTTATGAATTATTAAATTACTTTAGGAAATAATATTAGTTAATTTATTAGTTATAAAACAAAAATAGTGTATAATTAATATAAGTTTTATAATGAATGTTAAACATTGTAAAAAAGGATGTAAATTATAAACAAAATGTATTTTTCAATTAAATATTTTTTAAAAGAGAAGTAAAAAATTAAAGATTTCGATAATAAGTTATGAAATAAAACAAATATATAGAGAAAACTTGGAGAAAAACAAAACTTGTAATTAAATTAAATATAATATCGATATTTCAATGCAGTGTTTACTTGAAAATAAAAACAAGTTTTAAAGTAAATTGAGTTTAAAATAAACGAAAAAAGGGAAGAAAAACTTTGAAACTCAAATCCATTTCATTGGAAAATACATAATTTTTGGGCAATAATTAAAATAATAAATTAATCGATTGAATGACTGGTCAAGTGATGCGTTGGGCGCCTAACTTCATGGGCCCCTTCTTAGCCGCGCCCTTCCGTTCGGCTAGATTGCGATTCCTTCGCCTCTGTTCGGCGGTTGCCTTGTGTTGGGTCTGTTGTTCCGTTTCGGTGGCGGCCGTTGTGTTGATCACTGGCTTGTCGTTGGTTTCGCCGAATTCGTCCTTAGGTTTAGCAGTGGTTTTCGACCAATTGGTCGCCGATTTAGGGGTGGAATCGTTCGTAAACTTATCGAAGAAGTCGTCGCCGGAGTTCACTTTCGCCGAATTGGTCGTCACTTTTGTGGTCTCTTTCGTCTCGTCATTGAATTCCTGGTCGTCTTCCCAGACCTCCTCCTCATCCCAACCGTCCAGTGATTTACGAGTCGTTGCGTTCGGTTGACTGCTGTCGGCGTCTATCGAACCCCACACCTCCTCATCGAAGTCCTGCTGAGAATCACCCGATTCTGACTTCTGAATGCCGGGCGTGTGTGGAGTCTGCGGCCGATCGGCGTCCGACTTGTTATCGTCACTCTTCGCCGTACTATTAGCTGTGGTCTGAGAGGTATTAGCTTTTTGATCGGTGGTCGAGGGTTTGCTGCGATAGAACTTAGAGGCCAGGGATGTGACGGCCCAACCCGCCCAACTCGCCGCCAACGTTGACGACACATTACTACCCGCGGCGTTCAAATCGGCCTCTGGTTTGGCGGACAAAACATGAAAATTTGTTAAACAATGTTCGCACGGATCAAATCCATGTATCAATTAATCACAAACCCATTTGCTCCGCGAGTGACGGGTCTTCAGACACTTTCTCCAATTTGCTGACAAACCCTTTAAGAGCTTTGAAGGCCTGTTCGCGCACTTGCTTTTCGGGATCCATTGTTAAGTGACATAAGGCGGGCATCACTCGTGTGGAACACTCGCGAAGGGAATAAAAGTTCTGAGTGGCCGATAGGGCCAGAATGCCAGCGATGCGCGCCGGAGGGAACGGGTCTCGCATAGAGCGCAGGAACGACGGTATGAGTACAGTCTGTCGGGTCTGTGGGTGTAAATGACTGGCAATTTTGCCCAAACACACTGTCGTATTGGTCCGAATGCCTCCCTCTTCATCCCTGGCCTGAAGGCGCGAAAAGTTTTTGACAATCTCTTCGTTGAGGTTATGGTAGTTTAGTTTAGAGGCCATGTGTAACATACACTGTATAGACAGCAACAAAATCACTACCGGTTAAAACAATTGTCCCCCGAAATCATGTTATAATCACTCACTTTAACGGTCTGTTCCCTTATGACTGGATTGGAGTCGAGGAATCCCTGACATACGTGCGGAAAGACACTGTCGTTCACGACATTCGGTTGAATGTAATTAATGAATGTTTCCATCTATTTATCGGTTAATTAAATACATTTAGTCATCAGTTTTAATGACAGCCATTATAATGACAATACCTGTTGCAATAGTTTGGCGCGAGTGGCCCTATCTTTACAGGCAAACAGTTTTACAACACACGGAACTATTTTCTTCTGGTATTCTTCTTCTTCTAATGATTTCCCAATCTTTTAATACATTAAATAAAATTAAAAATTTCATTCATTTATAAAACTTCACAAAAAATTAATTACTTTAAAAAGTGGCCCTAAAATGGCAGAACCGACGGCACTAAACTCAAAGGCGGTGACCAATTGCGGTAAAATCTTATTCTTGCAAATATCTTTCGGAAACGAATCCAAATGATTGTCTAAATTTGTGAAAAACCGGTTCTTCTCTATCGTGTCTTTTATCTGTATTTTTAAGAGAAAAAATATAATTTCAATTCAAAATATATTAAATTTTTACGTTAAAAACATTGGCAAAACTCAATACAAAACCTGAATCTCTTCTAAGAATAGCATCGAATCGATAAAATTATTTTTGAAGAACCCGTTCTGCGCCCGACATTTGGTCACAAAGTCTGCGGGACTTAATCGAGAGTTTGCGTTATTGCTTATGAGTTCTGTGTATGGAGTGGACAATGACTTCGGGATCTGTGAATTGACAAAGTATTACAACCCATGTCTCTCTCAAACCACAGTTATATAACACACCCGTCCCATGGATTTCAGTTTATTAGTTTCAGGCAGTAATCCGTTAAACGCCTCCCATATAAGACACCCTAAACCCCAACTGTCTGTAGACCTAAACAAACAAATATAAGTTCATAAAATGGTTGACACATTTATCGGATGGACAAACCATTTGGCGCCACTCTGTCGTCGTGTTTGGTCTACCCTTTCGGGCGGTGTATACTTGTGCTGAAAAGACAGCGCTTTTGACACGGGATAGGAGTCGTCGGCATTACTGCACACGTATTCGAGACCCGCTATCCTCCAGACGCCACCGGAGTTGACATATATTGATGGCATCGATATGTTATTATGGGATAAATTGCAATCATTTATGAGAAAACCGAGTCCTTTCTGTTTATACCAACAAAAAACACAACAAAAAGAGTTTAGAAATAATCTGAAAGTAGATCTATTTGAATGAAAACTAACGGCCACTTGAAGTAATCCCCAAGAGATGGCCAGTTGTCTCTGTTGTTGCGTATAGTCTGAAATGGACTGCAAGTACTGTTCCAACGGTACCACGTGTTCAGTGACCACATATACATATTTATCGGACTATAAATGCAAAAAACTAATTAACGATTAGATAAGGACAGCGACCATCAAATACGCGCCTCAAGTGAATCAACATAAGTGAGAATCGATGGATGCCTTAACGTCTTAAGCCGTTTGACGGCATTCTTCGCCCGATCGATATGATTATCACCACTGGGTTTGAGTTCGTACCGGAATATTGACACCAATTCACCCGAAGACTGATTACATCACATGATTGCCAAACGACCCAAAAAAAACAAAACAAATAAAAATCATTAAATAAACGCAATTTCATTGTCAGTCGACATGTAATGACACGACTAAACGACAACTGCATTAACGGATCAATTGAATGATTGGACAGAAATATGAAGTGAGAAAAAAACTCGTGAAATAAATTGATAACAAAGCGTTTGAAAATCACTTTTTTCTTAGCGTTTTGTAAAATCCAAATGGATTTGTCATCTCCTGAGACAATGTCTTGCATCTCATATCCGAAGTCTTTGGTCGGATCTCTCGACCAAAAGGACCACATCTTCGGCGGCGGCGGTGATGACAGCGGACACAACCAGAGGTAAAAGTGGTCAAAAAGCTGAGCACAGATTCAATTGTCTTTTGATGTGTTTTGATGGCTGACGAGTTGGTTGAGTGGTTTGTTTGCAAAACACTTGCGTTAATAACAATCAATTTGAGTACTAATTGTAAAACTCATTACAATTTGGTCTCAATGTTGTAGTAATACGTGTTGTTATGTCTATAGACTCATAGACTCTGTGTTTACAACACATCTAATGCTTAAAACAGATGACAAAAAGGGACACAAAACCCATCACTCAATGCTTTTTCAATGCATTTTCAATGCATTTTCACTTTCAAAACATTTCCCATTTGTTTCCCAATACAACACTCTTTGCCGATAGAGGGCTTTACGGTTAGTGTTTGCCATCATATCATATGATAGGGAGGGGAGAGAGAGAGAGAGAGAGAGAGTGAGTCTATGCGAGTGTATGAGAGAGTGTTGGAGAGCGAGTGCGAGAGAGCAGTGTTTTAGTGACCAAACAGTGTTTGCATTCAATTAATTGTGTTTTTCATAATTTGGTTGTTTTTGTTGTGTTTTTGATGTGTTGTTTGACTCAATGCTGTGGAAAATGTCCAACAGTTTAGTGCTGAAGATTATCTCGTCGTCCATCAATATCTCAAAACAGGCCGGAGTTATAGTACGGGATGTGATGAAGACCGGGGAACTCGCCGTTGTCGACAAAGTAGGACACCTCAGCTGATCCATCGCTACATTTGCGCATTCATTGTCTCTCTTTTATGGTTTGTTTAGGGAATCAATGATCTCCAGACAGAAGCCGATAGGAGAGCCCAGAACTGTATTATCACTTCGCTGTCCAAACAGTTCCCGAAGATAGCGATCATCGGTGAAGAGGTTTGAGTGAACGAGCGTTGAGTTGACGGATACTCTGTTATAATTAACTATTTTTGTTTGAATGAAGACTTTAGACCCGAACGATAAGATCGACGACAAGTGGATTGTCAGCACTTTTGACGAATCGGTATTCGCACACAAGTGTCCCGACGATTGGCTTAATGTTGCCGATGAAGACATAGTCGTATGTCTTTTATTTGTATTCAGTTTTAAGGATTTATTAATTTTAGATTAAGATAAAGAGTTAATTAAGATTTATGCGGACACAGGTATGGGTGGACCCATTAGACGGCACGAGCGAATATACTCAGGGTTAGTATCCATATGGCGTACAAACCGGTCATTTACCTACAATATTAATGGTTATATATTAGTTTAATTGATGACAATATATTTCAGGACTTCTCGATCACGTGACTGTTCTAATCGGTGTATCAGTGAAAGGCCACGCCATCGGTGGTATTATTCATCAGCCATTCTATAACTATAAGGTTTGTTAACAGTTGACCACCAATTGATTGGTTCCATAACTTAGTGATAATGTTTAGGAAGAGACCGATTACTCGAAGTTGGGTCGAACCATATGGGGTTTGGTAGGGTTGGGTGCGTTCGGTTTCCAACACAAACAGCCGCCCGAAGGCAAGGTTATAGTGACGACCACTCGATCGCATAGCAGTCCTACCATTAACGCCGCCATCGAAGCCATTAAGCCGGACGAAGTGCTTCGTGTGGGCGGCGCCGGACATAAAGTGCTTTTGGTTATCGAAGGCAAAGCACACGCCTATGTCTTCCCGAGCCGTGGCTGCAAGAAGTGGGACACCTGTGCGCCGGAGGGTGTGCTCAACGCTCTGGGCGGTCGACTCACGGATGTGTTCGGCAACGATCTTCGCTATGAACGCGACGTCAACCACACGAACGAGTTGGGCGTTTTGGCCACACACGACGCCATCACCGCTCACTCCTTCTTCTTGTCCAAGTTTTCCGATGACGTGAAGGCATCCCTTCTTTCAGCACAAAAGTCTAATTAATGTTTAGAATTTGTATTTTAATTGAAATTTAATTTGAGTTTAATTTAGACGTTAAACAAATTTAATCTCTAAAAACAAAATCCAATTTTAGGTGTTTTTGTTAAATTACTGTCAATTTATTGTAAATTGTTTTCATAAATACCTCTTCTAGTGATATGTGTTTTAAAATTTAATTGTTTTTTAATAGTAGAAAATCAATTGTTAATTATTTGAAATATTTTATATATATTTTGTTAATTATGTTGTTTTTGTGGCAATCAATCAATTAAATTATTAGCAAAAATTGAATTATTTTTAAATCATTACTCGTATACACGCTTATGGTATAGAAAAATACATTACAAACAAGAATTTATGTGTTGTTTATAATATACTTATCACTTCATATACCACTTAAAATGGCAATTATTGCCAATTAATGGTATCCTTAATTATATTCAAACAACAAATTTGTTGGAATGACTTAAATTATTTTTTGAATAATAAAACGACACATTTTTATCTCAATTCAAATCTCTTTATTATTCATTATAAACCGTATAAAGAATTTATTCAACAAATATTAATAAAACAATAATTCATATAAAAAAGTATTAATTAAAAAAATAATTCACTTGAATAAAATCAAAAAAAGTTTTTTTGGGAAATTTTTAGTAATTTATTTGGAACCGTTGCGAGTGATGTGATGGGTGTGAGTAATGGGTACAACGCGTTCACCAGTGGTCACGCGTCGGACAGGTTTAATAACCGGCGCTTCGATAACCAGCACTCCATCGGCGGTCAGCGACGAGTTCAACAGATCCGAGTCGTACTCTTCGGGCAGAGCGTATCGGCGGCTGAACTGACGGCTGACCCAACCCTGTTTGTCCTCAACCTCTTCGTGCTTACTAACCCCATATGGTTCGACCCAACTTCGAGTAATCGGTCTCTTCCTAAACATTATCACTAAGTTATGGAACCAATCAATTGGTGGTCAACTGTTAACAAACCTTATAGTTATAGAATGGCTGATGAATTATACCACCGATGGCGTGGCCTTTCACTGATACACCGATCAGAACAGTCACGTGATCGAGAAGTCCTGAAATATATTGTCATCGATTAGACTAATATATAACCATTAATATTGTAGGCAAATGACCGGTTTGTACGCCATATGGATACTAACCCTGAGTATATTCGCTCGTGCCGTCTAATGGGTCCACCCATACCTGTGTCCGCATAAATCTTAATTAACTCTTTATCTTAATTTAAAATTAATAAATCCTTAAAAGTGGATACAAATAGAAGACATACGACTATGTCTTCATCGGCAACATTAAGCCAATCGTCGGGACACTTGTGTGCGAACACCGATTCGTCAAAAGTGTTGACAATCCACTTGTCGTCGATCTTATCGTTCGGGTCTAATGTCTTCATTCAAATGCAAAAATAGATAATTATAACAGAGTGTCCGTCAACTCAACGCTCGTTCACTCAAACCTCTTCACCGATGATCGCTATCTTCGGGAACTGTTTGGACAGCGAAGTGATAATACAGTTCTGGGCTCTCCTATCGGCTTCTGTCTGGAGATCATTGATTCCCTAAACAAACCATAAAAGAGAGACAATGAATGCGCAAATGTTGTGATGGATCAGCTCAGGTGTCCTACTTTGTCGACAACGGCGAGTTCCCCGGTCTTCATCACATCCCGTACTATAACTCCGGCCTGTTTTGAGATATTGATGGACGACGAGATAATCTTCAGCACTAGACTATTGGACATTTTCCACAGCATTGAGTCAAACAACACATCAAAACACAACAAAAACAACCAAATAATGAAAAACACAATTAATTGAATGCAAACACTGTTTGGTCACTAAAACACTGCTCTCTCGCACTCGCTCTCCAACACTCTCTCATACACTCGCATAGACTCTCTCTCTCTCTCTCTCTCTCTCTCCCCTCCCTATCATATGATGTGATGGCAAACACTGGCCGTAAAGCCCTCTATCGGCAAAGAGTGTTGTATTGGGAAACAAATGGGAAATGTTTTGAAAGTGAAAATGCATTGAAAAAGCATTGAGTGATGGGTTTTGTGTCCCTTTTTGTCATCTGTTTTAAGCATTAGATGTGTTGTAAACACAGAGTCTATGAGTCTATAGACATAACAACACGTATTACTACA